AATCTGTGTCATCCGATCCGAGTTTTCGCCCATGGCACTTGACACCTTCACATCCCGTCGGAAATTAAATATCACTGTGTTGGAAGGCGTATATGTATATAAAGTTTATCGTGACAGCCAAAATCTGTCATCCGATCCGACTTTTTGCCCATGGCACCTGACACATTCACATCCCGTCGGAAAAAATATCACAATTTTTTGAAGGAATGACACATTCACGTGTTACCTTCGACTCTCTCGAAAATCTCGTCCCTGCTCAAGTCAGTGTGCAGAGCAGAGCTGAAAGCCAGAAGAAGCACAGCAACACCACTCAACAGAACGGGACAGAACTGGAAGCCAACTAGATGCCCTCTCATTCTGTAATTTAAGAAAGAAAGAAAAACAGATGACGGATTTCGTCCTTTCTTTTTAGACGCAACAAATAGTTTTATGAATTAAGGGTTCTGTTCATAACACTTTTTCTGACTCAGCAAAAGGATGCGAGGGCTTTTTAAATTACTAAGTCATATAAAGAAATCCTTCCTGCTAAGGAATAAAACTTGTCCACTGGCTTGCACAAGTTACCCGCCCGATATTAAGTAAATGCATCGAGTTTCTCATTGACTCGGCGAAAGAATACGAGCGCCTTTCAAACTATCAAGTCATATAAAGGAGTCTTCCCTGCGAAGGATTAAAACTTGTTCGCTGGCTTGCACGCTTACCTTCCGTTTCTTTCTTTTCCTCGACTTTTTTCTCACGTTTATTCGCTAGTAAAGGTCTTTTGTATATATACTTCTCAATCAAACGTATTTATCGAAGCGGCTGACTATTCATTATTTATGTTGTTGTCAAAGTTAGAGAGCAATTTTCTTTTGAAGTTTAAATTGACCAATTTTCTCCAAATCTAATGAATTGGATACTCCTTCAAACCAGTATATTCCTCTCGTATTTTTCTATTGAAAAACTCTTTTATCAACTTTTCATATAATTTTAATGAAACTTGAGACAATAATTAAAAAAATAACTAGAAACAGCTCGAGAACCCATACATAAATTATGCATCAGTCAGCTTTGCATGAAGTTCTGATCACGACTTGGGGTTAGCGTTTCTTTACATTTGAGTAAAGCATGGGGGCATTTAACTTTAATAGAAACAAACCTAAATTACTTGAATTTTTTTGATTATCCGGATTTCTTTTCTTCTCTACCCGGTTTTTTTTATGAGTATCAATTGGCATTCAGGATACAAAACAACTTTTTCCCACCAAACAAAGCTAAATTCGCCCAATAAAAAAGAGCTACAGGATGTAATTTCAAGATTAAAAGTTTTCTTCAATGATGAAACTCACACCCTAACTTGTATGTTTATGAGTCACAGTGTGTTGGTATATCTGTTGTACCATACATATATTTGTGTGTTCCTATTTTGCACCCGTGTTAGTTAAATCTAATAACCGAAGCCAATATGCTAAGAAATATATATTTCTTTCGATGCTCTAATTATTTTCTCATCTCTTGCACTCTAACTACCCTACTAATGGTGTTTACTTTCGCTTACTGACAATTTTAATGCAGACACCTGGCAATGTTGATAAATTAAGCGGCTAACTGACTCTAAGGCAAACAATGAATTTTGTTTCCACTGCGGGCCAAGGGAAAGCAATTCTCACTGTTTCTCGTGGAACCAATCACTTTGATTTTAATTTTCAAAAGTGTTTTGTCATACCTCCCAAATCGAAAATGACTGCTAGATTTTTTTTTTACGCAGGCTGGCTCTCACATTCGCTGCAGTTTCACGGTGCACGAACTTATCACGTGAGAGTCGAAAGTTCGAGTCGTTGTTTCCCAAGGGGCTTAGTGAATTTTGTTCACCCTAGAAAGTTGGTGTAGTTTGTATTTTTTCACTGCTCGCGACATGTTCTCCTTCAATCAGAAAACTTATTTGAGTTGAGAGGTACAAAACGATTAAATTTTCATAACTGCTTTCTTCTTAATATAAGGTTGATCTAGTGCTAAGGAAATTGGCTAGTGGGTGGAGTCACGTGCGACGCGCGTGAATACAAAGATTCCAGGGGAAGAAGAAAAGAACACTTTGCAGTTCGAAAAAAATTCACGAAAAGTCAAGAAAATTTCAACGCCCTATTTGACGTGGCGGAAAGCTATTGAGAAAAACCATGCCTAGCACAAAAGGTCGAAGCTAGCTGGGAAACCTGGATGGAAAAAAAGTAATCACACAGACATTGACCTTTCAGGCTTGTTTTTACAAGGTGCATTACAGCAAATAAAATCCTTTTCTTCCAAGAATTTGATTCAAAACGAAAGAAAAGTGAAGAGTGAGGAAACAAGTCAAAAAAACTTGGTATGCCTTGGATTAATTTTCCAGAAAGTTTACTGAAGAGCGTCGTCATTTAGAGCGTCGTCATTTAGAGCGTCGTCATTTAGAGCGTCGTCATTTAGAGCGTCGTATTCCTGGCTCGATTCTTAATTAACACATCGAACTGACCAGAACTTAAATCTATACTCGCCCCGGTCCCAATGTATACCCCGCGGTATCCGTTCGACAGGTAAGCGAACGAACGAAAAATGGCTATGATTTTACTTTATTTATT